CTCTGCCAGGGTGTGAGGCCCTGGGAGAAACCAGAAATCCTCTCTGCCAGGGTGTGAGGCCCTGGGAGAAACCAGAAATCCTCTCTGCCAGGGTGAGACCCTGCTGCTGGGGCAGCCTGGTCTGGGGTGTCCCTGCCCATGGCAGGGGGTGGAACACAGGGAAGAATTTCCTCCCAAAACCTGATCTGACTCTGCCTTCTGCCACCCCCACAGGTCCAGGCTGAGGCCCCATGCAGGTGAGCTGCCCCTGCTCGCTGCCCTTGGAGGTGTGCCTGCAGCTGCAGCTGGAACCCAGGCTTAAAATTCACTTTTCCCCGGACTGAGTCCACTCTAATACCAAGATTTCTCTTTAATGTGTTTTATCTGTGAAAATTAATGGCATACCTCATCATAAACTCAGATTTGAGCAATGAGGCGTGACCGAGGACTGCAGAGTGCAAGTCTGGTTATTTAAATTCATTTCTGAGCACTCCATTTTGCACCTTCTACCAGTGAAAGGTTTTCCCAAACGCCACGTGACGCAGCCCCAAATGTTACTTAGGTTTAAATTTATTGGAATATGTAATTTTTCCCACACAGTTTGTCCTTTAACTGGGCTCAGAGACAGGGATGGGGCGCACAGGAGGCAGCTGGCCCTGGGTGATGCAGCGAGCAAGGAGGAGGGACGTGGGTGCATGCCCCGAGACCTAGAAGGACACGGGAAGTTTGGGAAGGAGAAAATCACCTTTTGGGGAAGCTGAACAGCCAGGGGAAATGCAGCAGGCACTGGTGGGCTCTTCATCCTGAGACCCTGGCCAGGGTCAGCGCAGCGAGCGCCAGGCTGGGCTGCTGGCAGAGAGACGTCAGAGCGAGCGCCTGGTGGCACGCTTCCCTGCCCAGAGGGGCTGTCGGGGTAAATCAAACCGTGCCTGGTAAAGAGGCTCTCCCCCTGTGCCCAGGTACCTGGTGTTCCTGCAGATCAAGAGGGATCTGTACCACGGCCGGCTGCTGTGCAAGACGTCGGACGCCGCCTTGCTGGCTGCCTACATCCTGCAGGGTGAGGCTCTGGGGCAGCAGCGATTCCCTTTTTTCCCTTTTCCTGCCCTGCTTGCACTGCCAGCGGGTCGCAGCACCTGCCACGCCCAGGGCGCCCACCTGGGCTGGGCTGGGGGACGGGGTGGGTGCTGCAGGGCCGCACCTGCAGGAGCACCCCAGGAGCAGCCCCGGGCTCGGCCAGCCCTGCCCTCCTGCCTGCTCTGCCCACTCCCGCAGCTCAGGAGGGAATCCATGTGGCCAGGGAGCATCTGCTGCCACCCGGGACAGCAGACGGGGCTGCTGCAGTCCCTGCCTGGCACAGGATGGGGATCCCTCCCGGCGCCAAGGCAGCGCGGTGGGAGCGGCGCTCCGGGCTGGGGGCTGCCCCTCACTCTGCTCTGCTCCTGCTGCTCTTCCCCACTGCGTCTGTCTCCCTCCAGCTGAGATTGGGGACTACGACCCGGGGAAGCACCCCGAGGGCTACAGCTCCAAGTTCCAGTTCTTCCCCAAGCACTCGGAGAAGCTGGAGAGGAAAATCGCCGAGATCCACAAGTCGGAGCTGAGGTAGGGGAGCTGCGGGCTCGGTGGCACCTGAGCACGTCTGTCCCCATTTGGAGCTGTCACCCACATGTCACATCCAGCTGGGACCTGCTCCTGCCTCAGCCAGCACACCCAGGGACCCTCAAGGGGACAGAGACCCTCACAGACCCCTGCTGCCCTCACCCCTCCCCAGGGACACGAGGTGGAGGGACCACCAGCACTCCCCATTGTCCCACAGCACTGCTGGAGCCTCTGGAGCTGTGACCCGAAGGGTTCCCAGGGAGGGAGGTGGGTTTAACTTCCCACAAACCCATCAAAGCTGTGTCCTTATGTGCCAGGGGCTGCTGCCCTCTGCCCTGCTCCCCTTTCCTTCCCCCCTGGTTTAGGGAATTCATCCCCAAGTTTGGCAGATGCCCTCTGGCCCTGCCCAGTGCTGCCAGCCCAGCGTGGCTCCTGTGGATGCCGCTGGCAGGAGAGGCTGGGCCAGGCTTCAGTGCCGGGCTCCTGCTGATCCCATAAAAATGCACTGGGGATGTGCTGTGCCTGATGCTTCCTCGCCGACAGGATGCCCGTAGCTGCCTTTCGCCTTCCTGCCTGCCATGGAATATTCATTTTTCCCTGCTTTTTCCCTCCTGCAGTGGGCAGACTCCAGCCACTTCAGAGCTGAATTTCCTCAGGAAAGCCCAGACTCTGGAGACCTACGGGGTGGACCCACACCCGTGCAAGGTAAAACAGTCCCAGGAGCCGTACCCAGGGCTGGGGCTGGGCTTGGACTCCTCTCCCTGGCCACTGGTGGCCGGCTGAGGGGCCGGGGACTGGCCAAGGGCGTCTGGCACCCGCCAGCAGCTCGGGCTGTGCTGGGGGACAGTGCTGGGGCCCCAGCCCTGCTCAGCCTCTTCCAGCCCTGCTCAGCCTCCCCCATCCCTGCTCAGCCTCCCCCAGCCCTGCTCAGCCTCCCCCAGCCCTGCTCAGCCTCTTCCAGCCCTGCTCAGCCTCCCCCATCCCTGCTCAGCCTCCCCCAGCCCTGCTCAGCTTCCCCCAGCCCTGCTCAGCTTCCCCCAGCCCTGCTCAGCCTCTCCCAGCCCTGCTCAGCTTCCCCCAGCCCTGCTCAGCCTCCCCCAGCCCTGGCCAGGGGGAGAGCACGGAGGCGTGGGGAGGGTGAGGGTGAGGGCGTGGGGAGGGTGAGGGTGAGGGCATGGGGAGGGCATGGGGAGGGCATGGGGAGGGTAAGGATGTGGGGAGGGTGAGGATGTGGGGAGGGTGAGAGCTCTGAGCCCCCCAGGGCAGCCAGAGGAAAGCGTTTGCAGCCAGCTGGGACTGGGTGCTCCATCCCCTCCTGCAGAAGCAGGACTTGGCAGGAAGAACAAGCTCAGGACGTGCCCGAGGAGCCAGCGGGCATTGATCTGGCAGGGACAGCCCAGCCCTCTGCCCTGCCCGGCCCATGGCCCAGTTTGCTGCTGGAAATGCTCTTTGTTGACCCAGGCTGTCACTGCATGTGGCTCTCTGCTCCCTGCTAATCCCATCACGTGCAGAGGGATGCTGGATGCAGAGCAGACAGAAAATTCTCCTCTCGGGCAGTGCCTGGGCTGGGGCTTTTCCCTGGGGCTTTTCCCTGGATTGTGCCACATAAACACACAGTTGCAGTAAATTGGGGGTTCCCTGTTTATGGGCAGTTTCTGAGTACCCAAGAGGCTGCTTTGCTCTGAATTCCTTCTGAAGCAGTGGCCTTGCCAGCAGCCACCCCCTTGTGACCTTTGCTGCTAGAGTCAGGTAATTTATTAAAAATAAAAAAGTAAAAGCCATCCTTTTACTTCAAGAACCTTTGAACGTATTTGAGTTACACTAATTAAAGTTCCTATCAGGACAAACATACACACTTGTATGGCTATCAGCAGAATTCTGCCTCATTCATCAGAGCTGCTGTGGATGAGCTCAAAGGATCTGGAAACCCGAGTTAAATGCAGCTGATTCCTCTGTTCTCTCTTCCCCAGTGGACTGTGGAGAAGTTGGGAGGAGGGGTTGCTCCCTCTCAGCAGCATCCTCAGCTCAGGGTCCCTTGACTCAATCCTGTCTGAAGTTTTCATGGTGCTCTCACAGTACGCCAAAAAACAAACACAGACAAAGTTCTTCCCCTCTTAAGCAGGG